CTCCTTCCCGCGAACGCGGCCCCGCCCAGTGCCTCGAAGAGCCGCGCCGCCCGTTCCGCTCTCTGGGGCTCTCCCTTAAAAATGGCTTGCGTTTTTACAACCAGGTTTACCCTCGGTCCTCCCACGCCTCCCGCACTTTTCCTTGGCATTCGGAACATAGTGGAGGCGCCCCCGGAGCCGGGGGTGTCAGACTGTCGCTCCCTGAAAGCTGCGCCCCGCTCGGCTGGCCCCTGCGGTGACAGCGGAACTCTGTGCTGGGACAAGGAGGCTCCGAAGCGCCCTGTGCGTTCATGGCTTTCCAGCAGCCGCAGCAGCGTGGAGTCAGCTTTTCCTGCCAGTTAATCCGCTATTGCCACTCTGGGCCAGGGTGAACCCCTTTCTTCAAATGTGAAAACGAAAGGAGACGGGGCATGTTAGACAACGCTAGGAAGTCTGGGGTTACCTAGTGCGGTCCCTACCCCCCCCCCCACTAAAGCGCCTGTCTCTCCTCATTCAAGGGCTGCCACCTTTTCCTTAACACTGGCCCCCGCCCCAACCCTCCCTTATCCAGAGCTGGGATTCCCAGCCTCGGGTTTCTCCCTTCCCAGTTTCCTCTTGTTTCACTCTTCCTCTATCTCAGCTATGGACTTGCCCTTAGGCGGGGGAGTCGAGGCTGTACACTCCCTCCCTGTTTGGCCTCCCAAAATCTCTCTCCTTCAAGCTGCAACAGACGCTTGGAACTTCCCATCTTATTGGCTAGTCTTCTCCCCTAAAATCCATCTGATTCCAGACCCAGTTCCTATACTCCTAGGACCTGCTCCTGGCATCGGCCTCCCTGTGGGCCCTTTTGTTCCAGAGAGCAGCACCAGAATGACCGCTGCCTAGCCGCTGGAATTCGGGGAACTCTGTTACCATGTGAGTAGGAAACTCCTCCCATGAACTGGAGTCCCTGCAGTCCAAATAAACACGAACATGTTTGCCAGTTGTCAGACAGTGGAAATGTGTTTTATTGTTGCTGTCACTGCCATCATCCTCAGGTAGAGACCCCAAAACCACTCAAGGCGCTTGAACTACACTGTAAGAATTCATGAATTCTTAAATTAGCCATGAAATTGTAAACGGTACCTGTAACAGGTGAAATTTCTGGTACCAATGTCCTGGCCCACTAAGCTTACTACCTTAGACATTCCCTGTCATCTGTAGATGTTGGAACATAATAAGGCAGGTAGAGCGTGTAGCACAAAATGTGAGAAGATCAAGTTTCTCCTCCGCCTTGGGCTGGGAGGAACTCCGGCCAACTTGGAAAAATAGGATGGAGTCAGACCTTTAGGCCCTGGGGAGTCCCTGAAAGTTCTGGAGCTGGGAGGTGATATAACAGCAAACATTTCTCCAGCATTTACTATGAGCCAGACCCTGGGTTAAATGTGTTACCTGCTTTAACTGAATCTTGCTGCTCTCCCTATCTTTACAGATGAGGAAACTGAGGCTCAGAGAAGATTAATGACTTTCCCAAGGACACACAGTAAGGGGCAGAACTGGGAGTTTAACCAAGGCTAAGTCCAAAATGCCACTCTTACTCTTTCAGGCAGGCTGGGAAGCCATGCTGCTGATGGACTGGCCAGCAGAAACTGTCAACCCCCTCAGAAGCAGGGTAGAGGAAAGGACTGCCCAGGCACCTGGGGCTGGGAAATATCCCCCCAGGGCAGAGTCACTAGGCATCAGGGAAGGAATGGTTCCTTGGTTGGCTGCTCATCTGGCCAAAAAACTGCCCGTTCTTTCATTAAGAGAAATGCTGTGCTTCCATCAAGCACTTTTAGAAGCATCTATTTTCCTGGTATAGCAGACTTCATGAATCAAAAGCAGCTCAGAAAGGCTGGACCTGCATTACATTAGGCCGATGGCCAAAAAGGGCATATTCATGTACTGAGGACTTGCCACCTGTGACCAGTGTTGAGGTCTGGTTTCATCTGCAGAGGATCATAGACTAGAAGGTTGGAAGGGAGGGCTCATCCATGTGGTATGGGCTGCTGCTCTTGCCAGCACATCACCCTCTGATACTCTGGCTCTGGTTCTTGCCAGGCTTGGAACTACCCCCAGGAAGTTAAAGAATCCCGAAAGAGAGCAAAACACTGCTCCTAATCCTGCATATGTGAAAATCGTCCTTGCCCCATGCAAAAGTGGGCATTCACTTCATTTATATAAACACGGGGGGATTTGCACCAAGGGTGTAGGGGGGTAATCTTTATCCCATAATACTGTTTCCCTTTTTTAAGTGTTCCCCAGCAGAAAAGAGAGCATTTGGGGAAAAAAATAAGCAAAAATAATACATAAGACCTAATATGGAACCATTCTGGGTACCCGAGAGATTAAACAGTCACATTTCAATGTCTGACCAAGCCAGCAGCTGAGAGAAGTTGATAAGGATGCAGTAAATGGGGCCGGGGAGCAGAGGAAAACACACATTAAAGCCTTTGAAAGGCTTGTTTTAAATAGAAGAAAAAGAAAAGGAAGTACTCCCTCTGCTTTTTACTTCCATCTAGTTCCTTTTGCATATTCTGTGAATTTTAAAGAATTACAGATAGGTTCCAACTAATGAACTATCTCTACTATGACTTTAATCATTCGATCATTCTTCTCCATTTGCAGATGTGGTGAACTCCTCCAAAACCTCCCGGCATTTGAGTTGTGCAGGGAACAGAGAAGAGTGTGCTGTCTGGTCTCACTGAACAGGACCGCATTCCTCCATCCTGGAAAATGCTTGCTGACTATTTCACGGCCAAGACAATATGACGTAGTTTAAGGAAGACGGCGCAGTCTTGCTGCCAAGACCAAGGAGAAGGTTGTCTCTCCTTCTCCATCTGTTTCCTCTCACCACATCCTGTCTCCCCACACCCAACCCCACCCCCCACTGAAAAGAAAGCTAGATTCTGAACGTGCCTCTCAGGCCTCCAGGTCTGTGTGCTGATTCTGGGGGCATCACAGCCCTGACAGTCAGGGTAGATGTATATTTATTCTATCTTTTCAGCAGATGACAGTAAAGGGTCTTGAGAAAGGGGTGTTTTTATCACTGGTACAAAGGCACCATTTGGGCTGGGGGCGGGGCGTGATGATAAAGGCTGCAATTCACCAACCCTGAGTTTAGCAGGCCTAAATCAGGGACTGAATTCCAGGCCCCCAGGGCAGTTTCACAGACCAAGAGAGTGGCTGATTAAGTGAGGAGAAAGAAGGACAGTGGACTCCAGTCGATGTAAACAGCCATATTTTCAACATAATTTACTACAGGTCTCTGAAGTGTATATAAAACATTTTAGTGCAACATCTTACAAATAGTTTTCGTTTTAAAAAAACAAACAAACAAAAACAAATCAACAGCTCTCTACATCATGCACGGGAAGTCTGCTTACCCCACCTCTGTTTTGTTTTGTTTTGTTTCTTCAACAGTTAAAGCAGAGAAACCGTTGTTTGGAAAAGAATATGAAAACTTGCTACAGAAACACCCTGGGGAAAGAGGGTGTGGTCGTATCCATGTCTGGGAATGGGCCTAGCACAGTGTAGTTTTCCATTAATGCAATGACGGAGATGTAGGTAAGTCAAGAGAGCAGTCAGCAGCTTTCCTCTCCGGGTCTCAGAGGATGAAAGCGCCAGCAGGCAGCGTGCAATGAGGTCTCCCAGCCACTGGAGGACACCATTACCACTCATCGGACGCCACATTTCCATAGGAATGGCCAAAGAAAGAAGGTCCCGGGGATTTTCACAGAAAGCTGAAAAGCTTACCCTTTGACGGTATCCCCTGGCCTAATAGAAAATGCACAGCAAAAAAAAAGCAATTATTAAAATACTGTTTTCGGTTTCTTTTTTTTTTTTTTCCCTTTCGAATCCTCTGCGACCTCTTCGCTCACTTATGCGCAGCACCAGCTTTTCTACACGTGTGAACCAATTCAAACTCAAATCTTCGTTACACATCCCAGTTCCAGCCAGCCCTCCGGCATCTTTCCATTCAGATGGAAGGAAAGTACGTCCTCTTCCTGCCTTGACTCAGTCTATACATTAGGGGCCAGCAACTTCTCACTGAAGCCCACAGCCCTGAAATGAAGAAATGGGGCTCATGGCGGCCTTCTTCCCTCACCACCGCTTCTGTTCCGTACCTCTAAAGCACTGATGCAGCATAAGAAATGGGCATGAGCATGTGAGGCATCAGTGGGGTTAAGGTGGCTGTGTCTACACATCTCATCTGGGAGGGAGGGAAGGCAGGCTACGGAAGGCCTTCCGAAAACGGCCAGGATCGCCTTGCTGCCCCTCGGCTGTGACACAGCAAAGCACCTGCACGCCCGCAGATCCCAGCAGGGCTCAGCACCCATGTGGCCTGGAATCCCACAGCCTCTCCTGGAGTCTGTTCAGTCTCAGAACAGGGTTTCACCACAATCTCTCTGGTTCGACTTCATTCTAGAGTCCCTGGTGGCTTTTTTCGTAAGTGGGAACTCCCTTGGGATTCAAGATGCACGTTCACAAGGAAGGGAGATGGCACTCTTAGCCAGCAAACTACGGCAAAGCGAGGGCATAAAAACATCTTCATGGGGTGAGCAAAAGGAAACACTTGCAACTGGTGATGCTCCGGGGGAGCCAAGCATCTTGCCCATGAGTGTAAAATAACAGGCGACATTAGCCCTTGCTGGGCCCTAAGAGGCTTTCAAATAAAAAGCCGCCATGACAACGAACAACCAAATCACCTGAAACCACAAACAAGATCTAAGAAAGGGAAGGGCAAAAAATCCATAGACAGAGACATGTGATCACTTTCTGCTGAGACAAGGTAATCCGAAAGGATTACAAAGGGTTGCTTCTGGGCCTCTCCTGGGCAGGCATCCTTATGGCAGTGAGACGCAGGTCAAACGGTGAAGAAGAAAGACATCAATACCTTTGGGAAAAATCAAATTGTAAAGAAGCAGAAAAATCTAGTCTTCATAGTTCCAGGAAGGCAGTCATTCCTCCCTGCTCTCCAACTCCAAGCTCTGGAAGCCCCCCTTTCACTGCCGACTGTCCCCATCTTCAAGGACCTTAGTTGTCAGCCAGCCCCAGTGCCCCCTGACAGTGTATGCGGTGGCTGCCTGGGCCCTGTGTGTTCGGTTCAGTGCTGTCCCCTTTCCAGGCTCACTGGCCACTTTCCCTTAAGAATTTGGCAAAGCACCTTAAAATAGAAGCCCACCTGCTCTCAGTTACCAGTTAGAGACTGCCCTTGCAGAACGGACCAAGCCAATGACCAGCCTTTTTCCTTCCTTCACTAACCATTGGCTTTGATCAATCTGAAAGTCAATAGCTGCTAAAGGCAGCCCTCTGCCCACTTCAGCTTGCAAAGTGTGTGCTGTTTGGAGCTTCTGATCTGTTCTCCAACAAAGTCTGCTTATTTTTTGGCAAGGTTGGGATGAAGCCTATTGCCTCCCCAACAGGCTAGACTGAGAACTCTCTACTCCTAATGGGGTTATGTAGGATTTATCTTGTACATACACAGTTCTTTGAAGCAAAATTCAACGCTTTCATCTTGACTACAAAGTGGTTCCAACAACTCCAGCTGAGGGAAAAGATAAGATACAAATTGGACCCACGCTACACATAATTTTCAAGTCTCGTTAAGAAAGTAAAAAACGTTTGGGTATATTTTGACCCATGGGTGGCATTTTCAAGTGTGCAAAAACAAAAGTCTTGGAAGAGATTCCTTTGCGCTATAAAGTTCGTCCTTCCATCTGCTATCAGTTATATTTAAGAGAAACTTGTCCACAACATAATGGAATCCAAAAGGGTAAACCAAAGGGATTGAAAAAAGAGTCCCAAAGACTTACAAAGAATCAGAACCCCTGTAACATCTATCTGAGAATACTATATAAATCAGCGAGTAGATGTGGCACTGGCAGCTACTCACCACATTACCAAAAACAAAAACAAGAAACCTAATTCTGCAGGATGGTGGCATCTGCTCAAAAATAGCTAACCAACCAAGACTGCCACCTAGAGGCAGTCTGTCTCTGACCGATCGGAGACTTGGAACACTTAAGTCTGACCATGTTCTGCCAGAGTGTCCCAGAGGTCAGATGCTGTCCGATCGCAGAGCAAGAGGCAGCAGGGAGAGCCTCAGCTCCTCCGTGGCTGATGACCACTGGGGACGCCCTTAGTCTATGGCTCCTGGGTGGATACTGAGCACAGGGGGCTCCAGGCAAGTAGGGGAGTAGTTGAGGTGTGGTTCCTTGATCCACAACAGAGGCACCCCATTCTTCCCATCAGAGTTCTTGCTGGAGTTCCGGCTCTTGAAGCGCACCAGCAGGATGGTGATGATAAGGATGCCAAAGATGGGGAAAGGGTAGAAGAAGACGAAGTAGAAGAGTGCATCATTGGAGCAGATGATGGACTGCAGAGTAGAACCTGAAAAGGACCAAGAGAGAGACAAGACCATGAGGACCGAGAATCTGGGCCGCTGCTTGTTCCTGAAGACCTCAGCCAACGCCATGGAGGCCACTTGGGGGAATTCTCGCACCCGTCCTATGCTTCCCCCCTGCCACTAATGGAAGGGAGACCACCCTTGCATTCTTGTTCTCATAACAGCACCTCTTGCAATTCACAGCCAGAAGTCCAAACAAAGCCATGCTTCCATTTCCCACTGTGAGTCAGTGTTTCTGTCTGGAAGGCCACATGAGAAAATGTAATTTATTGATTGTGAACTCAACTACATCTGGGATGCTAAAGAAGCCGACCCCACTTTAGCCTGAACCTCCTTCCCAGCTGTATTTTACACGTCCCTTTGCATGTAGATCTACTGCCAATGTCCTTCTTTGGGACAGAACATACATTCTCTGCCCACCAGCTTCTGAGAGCTGTTTGACCAGAAATGATACTTGCTCAATTAACGTTATCAATTAAATGTCATCATTGAACACTGACAAATGTAAGCAATATATCTGTGGCTGCACAGCACCCAGTGTTAGTTATTCCTGGATACAGAGGAGAATGAAACCTCATCCCCTCGACCTTGTCGAGGACTGCTCTGTGACAGGAGGCTGGCCTCTGGGAGGCTGCATTTTCTCTGTAAAATAAGGCTGCTGGATGATCACTGTGTCCTACAAAGCTTATTAAATTTGGACAGCCACAGTCGGCAGATAAAATGTGGTCTAAACACGTGCCCTGGTACTTTTGGACAGTGGGTAATTCAGCAGATCCTTAGGGGGTCTGAGTACAATTTAGGGGTTTTTTTGGCTTTTCGTTCTACTGCACAGCTGCTGCTTATTACTAAGAAAATTTAACTTACAGTAAAATTATTAGATTTCCAAAGTCTATGAAATTGCTGACAGTCAACCACTTTTGACCAACAAAACCTCAATTTCATAGGGTTCTCTCTAATAAACAGGAGGTTGTTAAAGGAAAGAAAAAGCTGACAAAACCCAAAATTATCTGATAAAATGTTTTGATTGAAGAAAAACGGACATTTCTAGCCAATTTTTAAAAAAATTTCTGCATCACAGGCTAATTCTACTAGTATAAACACCATTTTCAGTCTGATAGCATACACATTTTGACAGAAGGTCAACCAAGACTATCTTGTTAGAACACATAATGCAGGTCAGCAAGTATTTCCTCCAGTCTCTGCTCATGAGTCCCTCAGCATGATGAAGATTCTGAGTTCTGGACCATTCTGTAGCAACAGCTGATGGCTAACAGAGCTGCAACTAAGCTCTTCCCAGATGCGCGGTAACATCACTGCCCTTCTAAGCTGGTCTTCTCAACTAACCATACAAAATCCACCTAATCCTCCAAAATAAAAATGACCCAGGAACCTGAGAAAAAGAGAATGGCAGTGAGGTACTCAGACTTCATTTTGTTTTTTTCTCTCTCTCATGTTGCTAATTCACGAAGAGAGACTCAGTTGGATATTCTAATGAGTAACAAAGTAATATCTAACAATATGCGTGTATAATGAAATTTTACTAAAATACAATCTGGCAGAGCATCAAGTTTATTATAAAGACTAGAGGGTATATTATCACTTTAATTCCTGCTCTTCTTCTTTGCAAGGGCAATCAAGGGTCAGTTATATAAACGGGTATGTCAAATCCTAAACACCCATAACAGGTAAGAAAACTGCTTATGAATTCACCATCGAGCTCTGAGTTTATCTTTCAGACAGCTGGACTCGACAGTGACATCTTTCTCCTGAAAACTGGCAAAACTCACTTGTGTCCAGAACACGGATGCCGATGGGGGCTGACTCCTCCTCTGTCAGCCGGTACCATTCCTTCTGAGGGCTGGGCAGCCACTCCTCCACACGGCAGGAGTAGTTCCCCGTGTCCTGAGGGCTTGCCTGCAGCACTGTGAGCCGGTAGAGCAGCGGGGAGAGCCTCTGGAAGCGAAGCCTGCCCTCCCAGGGGCTGCCCTCTGGGCCAAAGACAGCGTCGGGGCCCACGCTCAGCAGGGCTGTCCGCTCTGTTGGGTCTTCTTCCTCCTCCTCTTCCTCCTCATCCTCCCCCTCCTCCTCTTCCTCCTCTCCATCTTCCAGGCCAAGGCCACCCCTTTTCCCTGTAGCTTTAGTCCTCAGGGAGTACCAGGCTACAGCGAAGCGGGAGTCCTGGCTGGAGCGAGACACGATGCTACAATCCAGCTGGAAAGCTGCCTTCTCAGACACTGTGGCATTGGGGACCACTGTGTCCACCTGCAGAGCAGCATCTGGGAGAGACAAGGCTGTTTTAATTTCTGCTCAAAACAACCTAAAGATACATACACCCCAATGTTCACAGCAGCAATATTTATAACAGACAGAGAAGCAACTTAAATGTTCACTGACAGATGACTGGATAAAGATCTGGTGTATATATACAATGGAATACTACTCAGCCATAAAAAAGAATGAAATAATGCCATTTGCAAAAACGTGGATGGACCTAGAGATTATCACACTAAGTAAAGTAAGTCAGACAGAAAGACAAATATCAGATGATATCCCTTATATGTGGAATCAAAAAAAAACTGACACAAATGAACTTATTTACAAAACAGAAACAGACTCACAGACATAGAAAACAAACTTACAGTTACCAAAGGGGAAAGGGGAGGGCAGGATAAATTAGGAGTTTGAGATTTGCAGATACAAACTACTATATATAAAATAGATAAACAACAAGGTCCCACTGTATAGCACAGGGAGCTATATTCAATATCTTGTAATAACCTATAATGAAAAATATGAAAAAGGATATGTGTGTGTGTGTGTGTGTGTGTGTATATGTGTATATATATATATATATATCTGAATCACTATGCTGTACACCAGGAACTAACACAACATTGTGAATCATTGCGAATTGAATGTTTCCCTTCAATTAAGGGGAAAAAAAAAACAAAAAACCGAGGCAGGGAGGATATAGCTCAAATGGTAGAGCACAGGCTTAGCATGCATGAGGTCCTGGGTTCAATACCCAGTACCTCCTCTAAAAATAAATAAATAAAATTAATTACCGCCCCCCAAAACATAATGAAAAAAAAAATTTAATTAAAAAAAAATCTAACAACCTAAATGTCCACCACTAAATATGTTCCAGTAATATAGTAATACACAAGAAAATTCTATGCATCTATTGAAAGGAATGAGAGGGTGCTATATGCAGGGATATGGAAGGAGATTAGAGAAAAATTGTCAGAGTACAGAACACTGTACTCTGCGTATCATCGTGTGGAAGAAAACAGAAAACACGTTTTATTCTGACAGACCATTCTGCTTATACTTGTGTGGAGTATCTGTGGAGCAATTCATAGGACGCTGGTTACGGGATGCTTATAGGAACGCGGGGAGGGAGGGACACTTATCCTCACTGTAACCCCTTTGCAGAGTTTAAAGAGTATCCCCCAACATTCATGACCACGTGGACCCTCCAAATTTCCTTAATTGGAAATAGGGTCTTCACAGAGGTAACTAGTTAAGATGCACTCCCAGTGGATTTCGGGTAGGGCTACATATAAGAGAAGAAGGCACAGAGACACATGAGGAGAGGGACACGGGACACGGGAAGACGGAGGCAGAGACCGGTGTGATGCAGCTACAAGCCAGGGACACCTGGGGCCACGAGGAGCTAGAGGAGGCAAGGAAGGACTCCTCCCTAGAGCCCGCAGGGGGAGCATGGCCCTGATGATACTTTGCTTTCACACGTCTCGCCTCCAGAACTGGAAGAGAGAAAGTTTCTGTTGTTTTAAGCTGCAGAGTTGGTGCCAATCTGTTATGGTGGCCCTGAGAAACAGATCACACCCTCAACAGCTTTTGAATTTAAACTGTGTGTGTGGAGATCATTACCTATACCACAGGGAGCCCAAGGAGGTAGCTATTCTCTAAGGACTAAAGCCAAACAACAGACAATAAACCTGAAAGGGTTCCTTACCCTGAGCACGGACCCCCCAGGATGACAGAGTGTCCTCCTGACTGAGGTGGGAGACACAGAACAGCCCTGGAGAGATACCTGAGCTGGTGAGTCACATTGCATAGACACCACCAGACAGCTGTATCTGTTTCTCTGTTTTGCGGTTTTGGCTCCTTGGGGTAGGCTGGAAAAAAATAATTCACTCCCTACCTCCTAAAAGGCCTCCCTTTGGTTCTGCTTATGATCTGCTTGTGAAAGATGCCACGGTAGCATCCACAGAAGCAGAGACCCACTCGGATTCTACTTGGATGACGACCAAACAGGAGCACTTCCCAAGCTGCCCTGGGCTTTCAATGAATTGGCTAATGTTGCTTGCAGGTGAACACAAAGCTGGAGTTGCCACTGCTTTTGTGGGGCTCTCCCAGGCCCCTCCACGTCCCCCTCGGCACATCTGGAATTTCGTGTGCACCGCTGGACACCGAGACTTAGGAACCGGCCACAGGGGTGGGCAGAGCGCACCAGCCCGGCTCTCACGGGGGACAGGAAGAGGCTGGAGGGGTGGCGGGCAGAGACCGCAGGACATTCAGTTCCCTGGAAGGGCCCCCACCATCTTTTCTCCCTTTACTGTAGTCTCGTCTAAAGCTTACAATTTTTCGGGGCTCCTTCAAGCACCTTACCTACATTAATGACTCGATACAAGTTTTTTGAATGAAATTCATTCCTACCTTCTCACAACCCTCCTCCCCTGAACACACCTCTCTACCAACTGGGTTCCCCATGTCTGCCCTCTTCTAGAAGAGGCTGATCCATCTCCCTGGTCAGACTTTGACACTCTTCCCTTCCTTTTCCATGGGTAAGCCACAAGAAAAAATTTGTCCCTACCCCTTCCTGATGTCATGGGCTGATGCTCCCATGCTGTGACCTTGACCAACAACTCTGGCTGTGAGGCATGTAGTTCTCTCTTCCCTAGTCGTATGAGACAGACACAACTACTAATCTACTCAGCTACAGTCTCACCCAGTTCGAGTATTTCATACTTTGGTCGCCCCTAAACAATGCAAGCGATTCTTAATCTAACTCTTACAGTTCTGTTATTTCATGTCTTCTGTATGTTCAACTGACACCTCAGAAGCAAGGCTTTGAGGCACATGCACATAACAAATGTTAGGCAACCAGTGAAAACGTGGTCGTGAAATGTCTTCAGTGATGTGGGGAAAAGGCTCACAAAAGAATGCCGGGCAGGGAAAAAAAATCACAGGAAACAGTGAGATCATGACTTTGCTAAGAGAGAGAGTCTGAGGATATGTAAGCAGTGAGATTACAGATAACTTTCCTTTTCAAAACTATACTTTTCTGTTTTCCAAATGCTTTGTTATTAGCATGATGATCTTAGATAATCAGGGAAGGCAGGCAGGCGGGCAGGCGGGCTGGCTGAGCCAGGCTACTCAATTGTCTGAACACAAGGCCGACACAGGGTTGCAGACTGAAGGGCCACGATGTGAGCACACAGTGTGGCGGGCAGGAGACGCAGTGACCACCCCAGTCCGCTCTGTGATGCACTAGCTGTGGGGCATTTCTCTTCATGTTTCAGTTCCCTTGTTGGTAAAACCTACCACTCCAGGTAAGAACTGAACGTAAATAGCCTCACTGTGGCTGGGATGCAGCTGGCTGTCTCTTCCTACACCACCTGAGGCCTCAGTGTGGTGATCTGCAAAATGGGTGAGAGCTGGAGGAGAAGGTGGGTGTTCAGCTGCTGTATCTACCATTTTACCTTTGGGAAAAGACAAGCAAGCTGCTGCTAGGCAAAGTAAAAAGAAAAAAAAAGCTTCAGGGAAACATGAGTGACTCTGTTAAAAGCAGAGGCGATTTCCCTGTAGCTTAGGCAAGACAAGGAGGAGCGAGATAACATCTCTCTTGTAACAAACATGTAATCATTCCCCAAAGTGTGTCCTGTGATGTGTAGGGTTAGCACAACCAGGAAGCTCCAGGGTTCCACCAAAAAAAAGAGCTGCTCGACTGAGATGTGAAAACATTACAAAAGCTTCCAACCAACGACCACCAATAGGAACATTCGATGTTGGGAACACAGGACAGAGCATTCCCACAACACACATCACAGCTCATTCCTGCTCCCTGTCCTTCTGAGGAACACTGACTCTCTGCTCTGATGTGGATGAAGGATGATGTGCTGCTGCGGAAGACACAGGCACCCTGCGCATCCTTGCTTTAATTGTATGTTTGAATGTGTGACAGTAATTCTACCTAGTAATTATGTGCATGTGGGTACTTTAAAAACAACAAAGACAAGAAAAACACCAGGCCACATAAAAGACAGTCATTAATACCAATAAAATTATTAGGAAGTGAGAGCGTAAAGGCTGCAGTGACTTCACCTTTTTCTATTTAAATCATGTCAATCAATTCTTTTCCACTGAAAATCCACAAGCTGAATTTTCTGAACCACAAGGCCACTCTTAACAGGATTTTTGCCACTTATCTTACTCTGAACATATCCTTCAAAAAAAATATCCTAGGCTCTGGAATCAATGAAAAATGTTATTCTAGTTAAGAAACAGAATCACCTTAGGCCAAAGCCAGATGTGCAATTTTCCATTCACTAGGGAAAAAAATTTAAGATAGTTATGAACGCAAATGCAAAATGTAAATGCTCATATATATAACAATTACTTTTGTTAATTTCATTAACAATTAGTTAATTTTAAAATTAACTAATTTGACGCAGCACATAAAATGGCACACTTGGAGAGGAACCACCAAAGCGGGTGGAAGCCTGGGGGTGTTAACCCTTACCTGGTCGCGAGACCCGAACAGCGGTCTGGCCGGCAGTGTCCTCCGCGCGTTTGTACCAGATGCCGCCGGGGCTGGGCAGCCACTCCTCCACGCGGCAGCTGTAGGTCCCGCTGTCCTGCACCGCCACGTTCTGGATGAAGAGCCGGTACACGCCCGGGGACGGGCTCTCCACGTGCAGCCGGCCCTTCAGGTTGTTTTTCGCCGCCTGCTCTCCGTAGTGGAAGGTGGCATCGCGACTGAGGCGGGCCACGGTCTCCCGCTCCGGGTGGTTGGGCTTCCACACGAACCACTCCACCACCAGCTGGGAAGCGGCGCTCGTGCGGTTCAGGACCACGCACTCCAGCTGCACCTGCCGCGTCTCCAGAACCGACAGGTTCCCCTGCGCCTGGCTGAGCTTCAGGCGGCTGTCTGGAAAGCGAGGAAAGAGATGTGGGCAACAAGAAAGCAAAGAGCCACTTGGCACGCACCCTTTCCAAGCACGGGTGACCAGGTGCCTTCCGAACACAGGCGGCCAGCAGCACGCTCAATTAGCGAGAAGCGTTTCTCAGATGTGCACCCTGCACGTTCTGAGCTCTTGATTATGGGTCTCAGTGTCTGAGTTTCAGGCAATTCACTGTTACAGTAACAGCTGTCCCCTAATTTATTACCCTCATTAGTTCAGATGCTTAGGAGAGGACAAGCATGCATGGTAGGTGATTGCACATCCAGTGACAGCAGACCATGAAGAATATGGCCGACTGGATGGGGTGGCCAGTAAGGGAAGGAAAGGGCATGGTGAGAGCCCGGCTCAAAGCAAGAGCAAATCCTTCAAACTGACCACATGAAGGCTAGAACATGCTGGGCTATCAACCTCAAAAGAACTGCAGGGAAAACCCAATTTAATATGTTCTCGAGCTGGCCCGAAGAATTGTGGTTCTTACTTTCTCTACCAAAAAAAAAAAAACACAAAAACCCATGTGGGTTCCCTCTCAAGGCAGGAGCAGAATTGATCTGCCATCAGTAAAGACTGATATTGATGGTGGTTTGAAATCTCAGCCAATCAGATTCTTCTCCAGAGAAAAAGTGTCATTAACCATGGTATGTCCTGAAAGCACATTTGCATTTTCACAAAAGGCCCGAAGGAGCCTCTCTGGACCAGAGGGGTTGAAAAGCTATGAAACTGTAAATGCACAGAACCCCTCCTGAGTGATACCTGAGAAGGGGGTGGGCCGTGTACCTTCACTTTTCACTTCTCCACTTCAGTACTGCCAGAATGTTTTATAATGCACATGATTACTTCTATAATAAAAGATCAAAAAATTTAAAAAAAAAGACAGAGAATATATTTTAAATAATCAGTCTCTCAAAATATACACATGGGAAGATGTTAACTCTAGTTGCCTCTGGTTGAAAGATTTTTTTCTCCTTTGTGCTTTTCTAGTATTTTCCAAAAGCTCTATAAATGTATGCTTTCTTATAAAAAAAAAAGGGGGGGGGTGGAGAGGGAGAAGCGACAAGCAGCAGGGTAGAAAAAAACAATAAAAGAAAAACAAACTAAAAATTTCAACTGAAAAAAGGAAATGTGTTGCTTTAAACTGTCCTGTAAGTTTTCTATTTACAGTGTTAATATTCCCCATAAACAGAGATTTCACTAACTGTGTTTTGACAAGGAGCCTTGTGCACTGCCCCAGTGAGCTCGCTGAAAGTCCGTAATCGCCAGTGGGGAAATGCCCACGATACATTTAGGATCCACCGTGAACCTCTTAGTTTCAGCACAAGTGAGAAAAGGGAAAAGAAGGATGATGACTAAGAGGAAACACACGGTGGGGGAGGGGTGAACCCATCCTCCCAGTGGAGAAAACGGTCAGAACTAAAAACAGGAAGAACAGAAACCCAGCAGCACATCTGTGGGCCTCGAGGCAACCTTCAGTTTTCAAAAGCCCCAGGGACTGGCCTGAAGGCGGGATGTAGGTCACTGGAAATACCAACAGGCATCACTGAGACCAGAGCTTCCTATTTTATGCACCAGAAGGGTCGGCATAAAATGTCACTGTGAGGCCGATGAGAGTCCCTGGATTGGGGCAGTCTGAGAAATCCAACATCCTGAGAAAAGGAGGTACCGACCCCACGGCATTCTGTGGGCCAGGCCACGTCTGGAATTCTGCATCTGGTTCCATTTGCTTACAGAATAAACTTTTCCTGAGGCCTCCTGGCAGACAAGCCGTGAGAACAGAACGGTGAAGAACACAGGACTTGTGTTCACTCATGGGGCTTCCTGTCCAGTGAATCTGAACTCATAATAACTTCCCGTCCACTGAACAAGTCCTACCTAATAACCGATGATAAATGAACTTCCATAACTATAAATACGAACAAGTAGTTCATAATTACTTATGTATGAATAGTATGCCAGGTGGTGACAAGCTACAAAGGGGGTGGGGAATGGGGATACGGAGTGACTAGGGTGTGATTTTAGTTAAAGGAGCTAGGAACACCTCTCCAGAGAAGAAAGAGATAGATGGATATCCATGGTCAACACGTTCCAGGCTAAGAGAACAGCAAGTACGAAGGCCCTGGGTTGTCCAGGAAAGCAACCATTCATTCCTTTTTTAACCAATATTTATGAAGGGTGCCATGCCAGTGGCAGGAGATACAAAGATACAGTCCTGCCCTTAAGTGCTTACAGTAGAGAAGAGAAGAAAAGTAGGATCCTTGGTGATACAGGAGAAATCAGGGAGGGCTTCCTGGAGGCAGTGCTGAGTGAAGTCTTAGGAATGGGGTGGAGACAAGGGAGAAGCGGCAGGAGAGGTGCATTCTAGGAGGAGAGGGCAGCATAAGTAAAGGCATGGAGATGAGACTCGGCTGGCAACATAGCATCCCACAGCCCATCAGGAAGTACAGGTAGAGACAACAACAAACTGTAGGGCATACAGGAATGAGGGATGAAAAGGGAGCTTAAGGACACATTATGTGAGAAGTTCAAAGAACTAGAGCTTTTCAACAAAGAGAAGGGGAGACTGACAGGGGCACACAGGAGCTCCCTTCACATATTTGAAAGGATGTAACTCAGACTAATCTTGGGTTGTTCTGGGGCAGACCTAAAACCTGAGCGGGAAATTACAGGGAGGGGAACTTTTTAACAAGCAAGGCTGCCCAAATGTGGAACTGAGGCCTGGGGAGGTAGTAAGCTCTCTGTTCCTGGAAGTATTCCAGCAGAGGTCAGACATCAACTGTCATGTAGCAGAATATGAACAGAATAAGGCTGCACCCAACAGGGTCCAAGCTGGGGTCAAGTGGTGATTCGGTTTGGAGACAGAAAGGGCTCAACCCCGGTCTGGGGTAGGATGGTAAGGAAGAAGAGGGAAGCAGATGCAGGAAACCAGAAGATGCCTTCTAGGCAGGAGTCCTGGGTATGGAGATGGCACTGGCCCAAGATCTAAGGTGCACACTGCAAACCCAGAAGGAGATCCAGGCACTGCCAGGGATCCTGCCTTGCAGCATCTTGGGAACCACAGCTGACCCTTGGGCCTCTCCCTGGTGAAGATGCTGTCCACAGCAGGAGAGCCAGGGATGCTCCTCTGAGTTCACCATCAGCACCAGGACACACTAGGTCAAATGGGTGGGCCCACGGTGCACGAGGATGATGCTCTACGTACCGCACCCACAGTGCACGAGGATGATGCTCTATGTACCGCACCCACGGTGCACAAGGATAATGCTCTATGTAATGTACCCACATCCAGGGTGGGCCCTGCAGAGCCCCGCACCCGCCACAGGCAGTCTCCCAGCCAACTGGCTCAGGCTAGCGGCAACCTCTGTCCTTACCTGGCTGCTTCACGGTGACTTCTGTGCGCCCTGAAACCTCCTCTGCCAGCTTGTACCAGGCATAGTTGGGGCTCAGCAGCCACTCCTCCACGTGGCAGTAGTAGCTGCCGCTGTCGCTGACCTCAGCTCTCTGGACAGTGAGGCTGAACAGGCCCCCGGACACATGCCTCTCAAACTGCAGCCTGGCCCTCAGGCCCTCCTCCTCCGCGTAGGTGCCGTACTCAAAGGCGGAGTTGTGGGTGGTTTTGAGGATGAGCTTGCCGTCGGCGTCCGAGGGCTTGTGGACGTACCAGAGCACAGCGAAGTGGGAGTTCTGGCTGGTCTGGGACTTGACTGAGCAGTTCAGCTGGATGGGCCTGTTCTCCACCAGGGTGAGGGTTCTCTTGGATTTGCTCACCTGCAACTTTGTCACTGCAAAGGAAAAGAGGGCGCCTCAGCAGACTCACAGCGTCACTACACATTCCTACAAGCGGGGCCGTCCCAAATCCCGCCTCCAGGCTGCCTGCTCGGTTTTGCCCAGCACAGTTCCTAGAGGACTGAACACTGATGGGCATCCTCCAAAGGCATGAGGACAGCGGCACAGAACCAACTGCACCCCAAACATCCCTCCATCTGTTTCCTCCCTGCCTCACCCCAGCTTAGGTCCTCACCATCTCTCCTGGTCTCCTGCCTGCTCCCCCCACCATCACATGGCCTCTGGGGGGAATCCAGCTGAAACACACACCTGCCCATATCATCCCCCTAGTTGCAAAGTTTAATGGCTCCAAAATATGCAAACAAACATCTCATACAGTTTAATAATAAATAAAAAAACTCAATCGAAAAATGGGCAGAAGTCCTAAATAGACACTTTTCCAAAGAAGACGTACAGATGGCCAGTAAGCACATGAGAAGATGCTCAACATCACCAATTATTATAGAAACGCAGATCAAAACTACAACGAGGTATCACCTCACACCAGTCAGAATGGCCATCATTCAAAATTCTACAAATGACCAAAGCTAGAGAGGGTGTGAAGGGAACCCTCCTACACTGTTGGTGGGAAAGCAAATGGGTGCAGCCACTATGGAAAACAGTATGGAGATTCCTTAAACTAAAAAAGTTACCATATAAGCCAGCAATCCCTCTCCTGGGCATATATCTGGAAAAAATTTTGAAAAGATGCATGCACCCCAGTGTTCACAGCAGCACTATTTATACTAGCGAAGACATGGAAGCAACCTAAATGCCCATCGACAATGACTAGATACAGATATGGTGTATGTATATAATGAAATATTTCTCAGCCATAAAAAAGAATGAAATCATGTCATTTGCAGCAACGTGGATAGAACTACAGATTATTATATTAAGTAAGGGTATCAGACAGAGAAAGACAAATATCATATGTTATCACTTATATGTGGAATCTGAAAAAAAATGATACAGATGAACTTATTTACAAACCAGAAATAGACTCACAGACATAGTAAATAAACTTATGGTTACCAAAAGAGAAAGGAGGGGAGGGATAAATTAGGAGTTTGGGGTTATCATATATACACTACTATATATAAAATAAATAACAAGAACCTACTGTATAGCACAGGGAACTATATTCAGTATCTCGTAATAACCTGTAATGGAAAGGAATCTGAAAAAGTGATTACTGAATCACTTTGCTATGTACCTGAAACTGAAACAACATTGTAAACCAACTTCAATTTAAAAAATTTTTTTTAAATTTAATGGCTCTCAACTGCTTATAGATTATAAAGAAAAAAAATTCCTTTCACAGTACAAAGTCCCTCCGGGATCCGGGGGCCCTCACCCTACTGTCCTCACTCAGGTCCACGCCCTATCCCTGACACCCACACCACGTCTCCCCATGCAGTTTCCCCCTAAGCTCTGGTCTGCTCAGCTGTCGTCTCTATCTGTCTCCTACCATCTCCCCTCTGACCCTGCTCTCTACTCATCCTTGAGTCCTTCTCTCCTCACTCACAGCCTTCGGGGTCAGATGCCCCTCCCCTGCGCTTTCATCAGTATTCGTATGTATCTTCAGGCTGTTTTTCCTAACGTCTCACTCCCACCCTAGTCTGTGAGCCCCCCAAGAGAAAACAAGCTTTTCCCGTTCTATCTGCAAATATTCAGAGTGCACCCACTCAGTGCTCTTCATGAGGCTCAGTGGTGGGGGTGCCCTGAAGAATACATCCTGCCTGGGGACGTTCTCATCACTGCACCCCTAGAGCCTGGGCTTTGGGAAGCACTTGATCAATGTTTGCTGAGATGTGTGAGTGGGTGAGTGATCGAGAGTGGGCTGGAGAAACATGGCAGCAGGTGGTTAGAGGATGCTGAGGTGTTCTGCTTAAGGGAGAGGGAGGGAGAAGATGAAGAAGAAAATGATAAGCCACAGGACAGAACAGAGCCAACTCCAGCCTCCCCTTCCCCTCGCTATCCTGCTCCAAAACCAGAAGTGGAGGGCAGACTGCCGAGGGCCCCCTGCCCCCTAATTAATGACCGCACTCTCCTTTAAGGTGGCAAGAAGCCATGGTCTGATGCAATATATCTTATGAAGGTAATCTGAGATCTCACCCACTCCATCATTATTATACTTGGCTCTGCTTCCTCTACCCACCGTCTGCCCCTACTGAAAATAAGAAGAAAAAAAAAAGGGAAAAAGTCACAATTTCAAGTTCCTCTTAGGGAGCTAATCACACAATCATCATTCCACTCTAACCGCTCTCTTGACACTTTGCTCTTTGAAGACCAAATCACTCAGCAGTTGAGAAGGAAACCCAGGGCATGGCACAGACCGCAGCAGGGCAAGTGAGCTGGGCTTCCTCCAACGAGCCTGCCCAGAGGGGAGGCCAGGGCAGGTTGGCCAGGGCCGGTCTCCAGCATCCCTGCTGGTCAGTCTCTTGATCCAGACACAGGATTGGGCCTTCTCTGCCAGCACTAGCCGGCTGGCTTGCTTGGAGCTTGGTGTGGAAAGACAGCATCAAGGTCTGAGTCCCACGTGCCAAGGCAACTGAAACTCCTGAAAGCTCCAGACTGTCACCTGGGCACTGGGTAAGGCACAGACAAAGGTTCTGAGTGGCTGAGTTGATTCAGCGAGCTGAGTACGGCAGAATCCGATACCCAAAACCATGACTACAAAAGCGACCCTGAGGCTGTGTCTCTCGTGCTAAGTCAGGTGACACTCTTCACAAAGGAAGCTGAACTCACACCCAGAGACCTTCTCAAGCCAGCAGAAACGCACCCAGCACCCATCTGAGAGAAATCCCATGGCCCACGACCCCACCTTTCAGGTTTCATCTCTTTTTGGGGAAAAGCCCCATCTCCTGCCTTCTTCCTTCTCTAAACCTACGAAGTCCTCAGGCCAGTGGGATTCGGGGAAGGCTTTACTGATAAGTGCCCAAGCTCTGGAAACTGGATTCCCATTTGCTTGCCCGTAGACTTTGCAGATCCAATGCCTCTAATACTTAAAACAACCAGCTCCCTTTTCATTCCTTTCCAACCCAATTCACTGCATGCAAATGATATCTGTATCAGAGCAAATGATACCACCTGAATCATCTGGTTCTTGGCCAACAAAACTGGGTTGCTCAGTGTAGATTAGAAAGAGCTTTAAAATGTATTATTAATTGGGCCCAGATTTATTTTTGCAACTGTTACTAAGGAAACCTCCATTGCTATAGTAACTGCATATGTTAAACTGGGTTCCTATGACTAAACTTCAACTCAGTCACGTGGTCTGGGAACAAAAATCCAAGGAAGAGAAATGTTTCAAAGCATTTCCATTTTTTGTTCTCCTTTCCATGTCAAAATATTGTGAAGTCTTGAACAGCTTGAAAGAGAGGCATTTTTGAAATTTGGCGCATGTTTGATGAGGGGCGAGCGGTCAGCTCCTACTCTGTGCTCTGAATTTCCCCTCACATCTCAAGGACAAGGAGGACCTTTCCTGGAGCCCAGGGGAGACGGCAGCCTGCACGACTAATTAGGAAGCACTCCCACGTCCTGCCCAGCACTGCCCTGGGCGATGTGCGGCCTGCCTGCTCCACCTTCCTCCTGGGGTTAGGAGAGCCCAGCCCCCTTAAGAACTGTAGGTATTTTCATCTGCAAGATGAGAACAGTCAGAGCACTCACCTCATAGGAGGGCTGTGCAGATGAAAAGCAATGTTCTACAGAAAGTGTTTAGCACAGAGGCTGGTATCTAATCAACACAGCCTACATTTTCACTATTCCCCTTTCTTTTTGGTTTCCAGGCTCAGCCCCATGTTCAAAGCTCCATGTCAGATCAAGAACTGCCAAACATAAGTGGCAAACTTGCTACTGGGAATAACTGTCTATGGACCGGCGGCATTCGTGTCGCCTGGGAACTTGTGAGAAATGCTGATTCGCAGGCCCCGTCCCAGACCTCCTGAACCAGAATCTGCCTTTTCACAAGGTCCCCAGGTGGTTCAACTGCCCCTTCAAGCCTGAGAAACCTTGGCCTTGGCTGTGTCAGTGAATGGACTTAGGCCATAAACACAGAAGTGAAAGAAAGGATTCTGAGGACTGAGGCTTGGTTAATCCCCAACAGTGAGTCAGCGGGAGGAAGCCGCAGAAGGATAGGTGAGAGAGGCCACGGGCCAGGCCCCACCTGCCAGCTCAGGCCCCACCTGCCAGCACAGGCCCCACCTGCCAGCACAGGCCCCACCTGCCAGCTCAGGCCCCACCTGCCAGCACAGGCCCCACCTGCCAGCTCAGGCCCCACCTGCCAGCTCAGGCCCCACCTGCCAGCTAAGGCCCCACCTGCCAGCACAGCACAGGAGCGAAGCTCTTTCATTATCCAACCTACCTGTCCTGCGGGTTCTGCTTTGTGTGTGCGCTTCTCACCCCAAACTCATTTCTCTCATCAAGAAAGGGTTCCCTTAAACCCCGTGAGAGCTCTCTTACACGTGGCTACCTTACGTTGAAGTTAATTTTTTTAAGGTTTTTCTCTTTCCTACCAAATCATCAGCATCTGAAGGGCAGAGGCGATGATGCAATCACCTGCCAAACAATAAACGGTTGACAGAATAAAGATGTGACTGAGCTTTTCTTGGCGGTACAGAAACATACAGGAAATTGTGACAAGGGGGAGAGAACATTTTCAACCATGTGTGACATCCGAGCGAGGGCCTGGAAAACAGATGAGTAGGTGTTCCCCGGCAGAGCAGGAGAGAGGAAGGGCACCCCGGGGAGAGGGGACAGGTGAGCAAAGGTGAGAACATCTCTGTGCACTGTATTCAGGGACGAGCAGGTGGTCAGGTGTGGTAGATGAAGTTGGAAAGGTGAGCCCCAACCAGACTGCAAGGGGCCCGGAGCGGGTACCAGCTCCTGACCACCTGCGGACACGCAGCACCAGCAGCGCCTGGGGTGGAGACACTGACTCACAACCGCCACGGCA